TCACTTTTCTATATGGTTGTCCAGGTATGAAATTCTATCTGGTTCAATAGTGCAATGCCTGTTTCAAATTCCTATATTAAACCAGATATATCTATAGATTTTTATTTTGTGTTTAGGGTTCTCAGTGTAGGGACCTGTTTGATTTCTGAAGCCAGATGACATTTTTGGCAACATTGCGAAATTTGCGTATATAAGTATTTAACGATTAAATTATATTAGAATCGAATTGGTACTGTTATTAGGTCATGCAATTAGGAAATAGCACTTTGTGACTTAACCGGGGGCCTCCCGCACTTTTCAAACTTTTTATTATTTCCTTTCTTTTTGCACTTGGATCTGTTATCACTTGTAGAATCGATATTGATTTTTTTTTGTTATTTGAACTTTAGCGGCACTGTACGTACGAGCGCCTATCGAGACCCTAAACGCGACCTCTCGGCTTAAGGCTCACTGCGTCACTGTCTTAATCTGTCAATGTTTAAAATTAATTAAAAAGATTGATTAAAAAATTAATATCTCGAAAAATATTAACCATTTTACTCAGAATTTTATGTAGAATTCAAAAATGTTAAAATATATGAGTTTTCCTGTTTAAAATAACAAAGTTAAAGACATTACCGGTAAAACAGGAAGTATTATTTTGTTTAAAATAATTTAGGAAAAAAGTCTAAATCGAATAATTTACGCTATTAAAATTTTAAATCGATGTCTTTCGCGATTCCCTAGAAACGTCTAACGGACTACATATTAAACGTCATTTATGTGTTATGCTTTACCTAATTATTATTAAAAGATACAACAATATTTGTATAAAAATGACCATATGTCTAAACTAAACATGTATGAATACTGCTACTGCTAATTCAAAACTGATCCAGGCCACAGAAACATCATTTGCATAAAAAAGTTAATATATCAAATAATAGTCAAATATCAATACTAAAATTTATAAAACAAAGTTGCTTCTTCGATTATTTATTTATTTATTTTATTTAAATTGTTAAATTTTAAATGAAATTATATACGTTAAAATCTAAACTAAATTTTTTGTCATTAGTAAGATCTACATTTTGTCCAAATTTCAAATCGATACGTTTTGAAATAAAAAGTTATTAAAAAAATGAAATTTCTTCATTTTTAACACAGTGAAGAAAAAAATAAAGAAAAAACAAAGTTGTCAATGGATGAGATTTTTTTAGTTAAGAGAGTAGGTACGTAATTCACGGAAAAAGGCAGTATTTTAAAAAATTACATTTTGGTGTGCCGTGTCCTACAAACTAGGAATTATCGGACCGTATTTTATTCAAGGACGATTAAATCAGTCGCATCAATCGCATTATTTCCATCATGACGGATTCCCCGCTTATTTTACAAAAATGATTAATACTGGTTGGCTAAATGTTTTGTAAAAGATGGTTTGAAAGAATAAGCATTTCGCTATATATATTTCATCTTTGCCGGTCAGATCCCCAGACCTTACTATTATGGGTTTTTTTGTTTGTGGAAGAGTGATACAAATAGTTTACCAAGAACCCATTCCGAATTGTACTGAAGCATTAAAAAACACAATAACACATGCAGTCCAACAAATTCCAAGAAAAAATGTATGATAAAGTTTAAAAAAATTTTGAAAACGAATTGAAAAATGCGTTTATTTAGGAGAAGCTGATTTTTAATTTAAGTTAACCTTCTTTTAATTAATAGTCTTCAGCGAGTAAGCGGTTGCAATAAAACAAATGTTCCTTTTTATTTTATTTTGAATTAAAATTTAAGCCCCTGGTAAAATTACGTCTTTAATAGGTAATCTTTTAATTTTGGGCAACCTTTTTTAAAATTCTAATTCTAATGCTAATAAGAATAAAAATCAAAGTTGGCCAATAAATTTTAAATTTGGTATTTGGGCCTAAAACATCATTCTTAACAACTTTTTTTATAATATTTTTTCGTATATCCCATATAAAACTTTTATAATATAAGACACTTACCAACCCAAAAAATAGTTTTTTTAATATTCCCAAGGGATACTTAATTTTTCAAAATTATGTTAAGAATTGATATTTTATCAAGCAGGGCTCAACCCCCGAAAATGAAAATTGAATTCAATTTTTTTTCGGATTTTACAAGAGTCGTTCCACCTATCCGGGGACACCCGTAAAAAAAAACTGTCGTCTTTTTTAATCCAACTCATTTATTTTTCAAAATTTCTAAAATAAAATGTTTAATTGAACAAGATGATACTTTTATTCTATATAGAGAATGATTTGAACTAATTTTTGCCAAAAATTGAGATACGATGTTCTTATTTGCGAACGTCGGTAATTAAAACACCCTGGTAGAAAATAACGTTAGCTAAACAAATTGCTAACGTTAAAAATAGGTATAATTTATTGTTTGAAACCTAACGTGATAACATAAAAATTTGTATAATTTTATATATTAAAAAATTAACATTTTCCAGTGGATAAACTTATTTACCATTTAAAATAATTATTTCTTAAATTGGCCCGAAAATCACAAATCAATTAAAAATTCTTAATTTTATGAACAATTGAATTGACAGTAATTTATATTTTATTAACTACCTCCAAAAATTAGTACTGGAGCATATTAAGATAATATCACTTTGTCAAAGTGGATAATTGTTTATTATGTATCAAGTTTTATCATAGCCAATTTAGTTTAGTTTTATTAGGCACGAGCGAAGCTTGCGAGCGAGTGTTTAATAAAAACGAGTGTCTAGAGTAGTTTATGAAACGAGTTGCATATTATACTTTATCTACGACGAACAGAAATAGGAATTTAAAGCCAATTGTAATTCATAAATATTTGACATCTGACGAATTTCTCCTCACTTTTTCCCAATTTATAATAAACCCACTTTCAGTCCGTATATTTGACATCTGACGATTTTCTCCTCACTTTTTCCCAATTTATAATAAACCCACTTTCAGTCCGTGACCCAAAAGCCACTATTGTTAACTTCAGCCCGTGACTAAAACGCCATAAAGTCACAGCTCGTCAATGTAGGAGTATATAATAGTAGGTATATTATGTATCAAGTTTTATAAACGCCATTAGGCACGAGCGAAGCTTGAGAGTGATGAAAATGTGTCTAGAGAAGTTTATAAAATGAGTTGCATAGGTACTATACTTTATCTACGACGAACAAAAGAAGAATTTAAATCCAATTTTATCTGCTAAACATTTGACATCTGTCAACTGTCAACGGATTTAACCTTACTTTTTCCAAATTTATAATAAAGCCAACTTCAGCCCGTAACTAAAGTGGCCAAAATCCACTATTGCTAACTTAAGCCCATGACTAAAGTCACAGCTTATCAATGGGGGAGTAGATAATAGTATATTATGTATCAAGCTTTATAAACACCATTTTAGTTACGAGTTTTATTAGGAACGAGCTAAGCTTGTGAGCGAGTATTTATTTAAAACGAGTGTCTAGAGAAGTTTATAAAAACGAGTTGCATACTATACTTTATATAAGACGAAAAAAAAAATAAAAATTTAAAGCCAATTTTATTTGTTACAAATTTGACATCTGTCCACTTTCACATTTTCCAATTTAATAATGAAGCTAACTTCAGCCCGTGACTAAAACGCTATAAAGTCACAGCTAATCAATGGGAGAGTAGATAAACGTATTTTATAGTGTTTTGAGTTTAATATTTTGGCCGGATCATTCTTTTAAATATTAGGCATTACTTTCAATAAACATTTATAAGTTCATACACAGAAGTTCATACAAAAATATAATTAATTTATACGAAATTTATAAAATAATAATTAAATTTAATTAATATTTTATTATGTTAACATTATTAAAACCAATCCATCTATATATATAGTTCCTCTTACGATATTTTGTTTTGTTTAAAAAGGTTATAATAATATCTATATTCAGGGCCGGATTTAAATTTTTAGGGGTCCTAAGCAAAAGTCAGAGGTGGTTATTTTGATAACTACCCTCTTATATATGCCTACAAGACAATTATCGCGATAATTATCTACTAGGAATCGATAATTCCATTGTATCTACGTATCCATGGCAATTAATAAAAATAACGTCAGTTTTTATTTTAATGTGACAGTTATTTAAAATGTCACGTTTTGGTAAAGAATCATTTGATTCAATTAATGAAAATGGAAAATGGTGTTAAAATATTTGAAAATGTTATTCTTTGATTTAATTATAATTAAATAATAATAATAAACTATAGTTTATTCGTGTAATTATCTAAACAAATTACACTCGTGCATAAAAATAATCAGATAATTTTGCATTCAAGCATATTGCCTTTTAAAAAATGCATTCGGTCATTTTCATATTTTGAGGAAAGATAATTATAATAATAATCTTTCCAAAACATGAAAATGAACTCATGCATTTTTTAGGAAATATGCTTTCAAGCAAAATTATCGATAATTTTTAAACACTTGTGTAATTACCCCCCGATAATAATTTAACCTAACTAACCTAGCCTGTGCCAATTCTATTGAATAATATTGCCAATGCCTAATAATTCCTATTAAACCGTAATTGAGCACTATTTAAACTTATTATGTAAAATATTGTTATTTTTCTTTTATTCAGAAAAAAGGGTTTAATTTTTCATCTAAAAATTTTAAATGCATTTAACAAAAAAATTGCCAGGTCTATGTGAATCAAACAAGTGCTTATTTTGCTTATAGGCAAATCCGGCCCTGCCTATCTTAAAACTTATTGATTTTGTTTTAAAATACTTTTTGGTTTTAAAATAAGCGATGCTGCGACAATCACTTTTGGAGGTTTATAAGAGTAAAGTGTTTTAATAGAGAAATTTATTTTTTGTTTTAAAGCGTTCTTAAAGGCCATAATAAAATTTTACTTGGGCTCCGTTATCTCTCGTATAGTATAGGTAATATTAAAATTAGTAAAAAATAACAAAACATCAGGTCGTCAAAGTATTTTTTTAAGAGAAGTTAAATATTTTTTTGTAAAATAGTTTTTCGATTGGAATGGCCAAAGAATGTTTGTGACTGATGGAGACATATTTCGACCGCCGGTTATAGTAAGCAATGGACCATCTCTAACTGTCAGATTTTACGCCAATGGTGCGTTCGATTATGGTTTTAAAGCGACGTATAATTTTTTATTGGGTAATCTAAACGACATGACTTTTAAACCAGATATAGGTATAAATGAATTAACCTAATATTGATTTATTATTTAATTATATTGTTATAATGTTCAGGGTGTGGTGGTAACGTAAACAATCTAGGAGGTGGCATAACAATGATGAATATGCTGGAGGAAGGAACGAAATATTACGATTGTGTTTGGATAATAACACCGCCAGCGACAAGTTTTCATCTGAAAACCCATTTGTATGTAAAGGTTATAATTTTTTCGAATTTCGGTAATAACTTTTTATAGATAAAATAAAAAATCCCTAATAAACTTATAATTTCTTGAAGCTGGAACCACAGAGCTAGCAATTAGGCAAGGCTTAACTTCCAGCGAACCCGTAATAGAATCGATTAAACAGTCTTTATTTAATTTTGCAACTGCCAAGGAAAAAGAACACGTGGTTCCCATAAAACAAGGATTCTATATCACGTTGAAAGGACTGTTTAAACCGGAATCAAAACTGGCCATTGTATATGCTGCATTTAACTATAAAGGTTCTCAAATGTTAATCTTAAAATAAGTAATTTTAATTCATTTATATTTTAGATTGTTATGCTGGTTCAGACTTTTTATGCAACAATTTCAGATGCATTTCGGCGTTATTAAATTGCGATGGTTTCGATCATTGCGGGGATAATAGTGATGAATCTATTTCTTGTTCTGAGAGTTAATAAAATACTTTGTATAGCAAAATATTTAAATTTAATTGCCTATTTTTAGATCCTAAAGATAGAAGACATCGATCTAAAACCCCTAATTTTTTGTTTCCGAAAACGGAACAGTATTCCGATGTTTCTACGGCAACTATTATTTTTTTAATCTGTGGATTTGGTTTATTGGGTATAATTATGGCACTCGCTTTACTTCTTTTTAGAATAAACATGAAAGCAAGACATCAACGGCAAATTCAAAACCATCTGGAAACCATTCATGCAATATTAGGTAAAGTTATTTAACATTTTAATACAATACATTGGAACATAATATTATTTTAGAGGAAAGTGTTGTCGATGTGGAAGAAGAAATTATTATACCAGACGACCCTCCAGATTACGAAGCCCCTCCTGAGTACTGTGATACTCTTAAGACTGGAGCAATAAAAAAGAAAATTAAAAGGTTACATTACTTATTAATTAAAAATACCACTTATTTTTTTAAATTACAGAAGGCCAGTCCCAACAATTCCAGCGGGAACAAGCAGTTTAATGACAAATGAAAACCTGCCAAACACTACACATACGAGTAGTAAAACTACACCCACATCTCCACCACCTCCGTACATCGGAAATACTTCGATTAGTATGACTATCGACCAAGAAGAGGGAAGAGATTTCATAAGCTTACCAAGTGATAATAACAACGTTCAACAACCAGGTAAATAAGTAATGCAATTATTGCAAATATTAATGTTTTTATAAGGAATATCAACAGAAAGACATTCTTTGACACCCAACGTGGACGAGTCAATTTTTTCGATGTACCTCGACCATATCCGATCGGCTTTTAGTTGGAACAACATAGAAGTTTCGGTGCGTCGAAGTTTTCGCTACTACAAATCGGAGAATGCTTTGAAACGCGAGGACAGCTTGTCGCAAAACGATACAAATATAATTAAATACTCGTCGGATACAGAACTGCAATATTTGAGCACTGATGCTATCGATCAATTCTGGCCCCGGGTGGGAAATGTTTGTTTTAAAAAAAGTCTCTCTTCCGATAATATTTAAATTAGGTATGCACCTACTTAATTATTATTAATTTAAATAAAAAGTGTAAAACTTATTCATTTGTTTTACTAATGTTTACTCAATGAAATAATTAACTAAACTTAAAAATGTTTATTTGGCACAAAGTTATAAAAAAATAAAAAACTACATATCTAAACTGCGCACCACTCAATGTGTCGCGACCAAAAAGTTTTTTGTTTCTGGAACGATTTTATTTTGGTCTGTAATGTCTGCTAGCCTCATCCTCTGGTAATTCATGCTATAAATGAAGTTCACGGTTCTTCAAGTAAATTTTCTACAGGGTGATATGTAAAACGGTGAAAAATTTCAATAACTTCATCCAAGCCCCGTTTTTACTTTGAAATAATGAAGTATTATGTCTTACCTTGAAACGATTTTCAAAATTTTTGAATTGGAACCTTAGCAACAAAAATATGATTTTTTTTCTAAAAGAGTACATTTGATGTTTTTTGTAGGCAATGCACTAAGCCTTTTTATGAACAAGAAGATAAGATGGTGAAAGATTGTTCCTTAAATAATTGTGAACAAGCGACAAGCAACAAACTTCCATTATTTTCAGAGTAACCTAAGCAAATACCACTTTTTAAAAATGACATTTGCGAAAACTAAACCTGAACCCATATTTACGTTCGTGGCATATTTTCTTCATAATTTTGTCCTGATTGTGATTTAGTTGTCAAATTTAAGTTTAAGATAAAACCAAAATCGTCAAGAAAAAAAATTCAAAAACAATGCCCGGCTGTTAAATGTCTCAATAAAATCCGATTGCTGGTTTTTACTGTTTTTTTTACTGTGTTTTGAATCGTTAGTACCTACGTTATTATCATGTCGCTGAATGATCATATTGAGGATCAAATGATGAAAATTAGTTCTTGAAAAACATTAAAAACGTATTACGAGGGATATTCTCGTTTTTTTTAATTTGCTTGTGTTTTTCCATTTTTTTTTGCATAAGTTATACCTATATAGATATCTACCTAAATATCTACACCCATATTACCCAGGTTACTTCCGTTTTTCCTTTAAATTATTGAAATGTCAATGCCAGGACAAATTAACTGTTCGCAGAAGATTGCACGAAACGGGAGGCTTGGGTGAAATAGCGATGAATGGAAGGAGTGAATTGGTAATAAATTCTGAGAGATTTGTGTATTAGTGGTATCGTGGTCCCTTATGCTCAAAATGTTGCTAATAATTTGGTGTTGGTGGACGACAATGCCCGTCGGCACCGCGCTAATATCGTAAATGAGTATTTAAGGGACCACGATATTGAGAGAACGAATTATCCACCTTTGTCTTCGGATATAAATTATATTGAGCATGTGTGGAGCAGGATGAAACTGAAGATGAAAGAAAGGAAAGGACGCATGGAAAATTTGGATGAATTGGTAAATGCTATTAAGGAGGAATGGGAAGCCATAGCCCAGGAATTTATAAGAGACTTGGTCGAGGGAATGCCCAGGAGGGTTAACGAATTATTACGGGTTAGGGGAGGGCCAACGAAATATTGAAAGTTATTATTGTTATTGTTTGTAACATTTTTCTGTTGAATGTTGTAGTTTTGATTATGATTATATCACAGACAAAATAGACTTGCCTTAGGGAAAAAATGATACGGCCGGGCGGGTGCCTGAACGGGTGCCTGTTTTCCAGTTCGCATCATTCATATTTGAGCAGTTGACCTGTGAGGATATATTATTTATGTAAAATTCTTTGAACATTATGGGTAAATGTGTTGTCAAAGTGTGTCCTAGTCGTAGTGAAACTAGTTCCAGCCAATTTCAACCAATTTCCTTTTTCCAGTAAGTAGTAATTACGAGATAAATTTTAAGCGATTTTATTAATTTTGCATGTCAATACCTTGCGTGCGCACACAGATGTTGTATTGTTCTCTCCTGTGCACAGAGCCGTACTTCGTTCATTCTGGAGCGTAAAACTAAATGAATTTCTTTGATAATCCACTAGGAATATTTTAAATTAGATACCGCTCGTACGAAATTATTTAATACGGGCCTGGCAGAATACATATCTTCTCTTATATAATATATAATATAATGTATACATTCCCTTGCCCCCCTTCACCGATTTATGGCACGCTGGTTTCATGTTAGCGATACTGAACAGGGCAAGTCTATTTTGTCTGTGGATTATATCCTCGCATAAAATTTTAAAAAATGAACAGAAATATATTTTTTAACTTTATTACCAATTAGGTAGGTACATATCAGTAATAAGTTATCACTAGTGCGCAATGTAAATGTAAGTTATGTAACATATGTTATTATATATTATTTAGTTAATAAATAAAATATGTAAATCAATAAAACGAATTAATGGTTCCGAAAAGAAATACCCTGTATAAATTTATTAGAAGACATGTTTTTAAATATATTTTATTTTTCTAATTTTAAAATAGGATTAAGTAATAAAACTTTAGTTTAAGGCAAACAAAATTTCAAATGTAGGTAGAAAATTTGTCAAACTAACAAGAGAGGTATGCTTGGAGCTTGAAAAAGGGCACATGTGGCGTACACATTGGGCGAGGAATTTCCACCAGAGGTAAACGAAGGTTTTTGAAAAGGAGAAATGAGGCAGAATCATTTTGAACTTGGTTGAGTACAGTTCGTTTTCTTTGGCAAAATTGAAAAATCAAGTTATTGTTTTAAAATCATTGTTAAAAGTGTTGTTAGTGTATTCTACAAGGTTAGTTCTAAATATTTAATCTATTTAAATGTGTAGTAAAATTAACTAAACGTAATATTGTGCATTTTTAAGTTGTTAATATTATTATATGATTACCTATTGCTATTATGAGAATATTTATCCTTTACTATTACGTTTAGCTGTTTTTACGTTATTTTTAACCCTTTTCTTTTAGCTATTACCACCCCTATTTTCGCTTTTACTATTATCACTATAATTTTAATAATTTGCTATGCTCAATGCTTGTACTGCTCAAATGTAACCTTGTAAAGGGTGATTCATTTAGACCTTTTTTTTTAAATTCTAGATAAAACGCATAAAATAGAGTTGGATGGCGGAATCTTTATTATGACCTAAAAGAACGATCTTTGACATTTTTTTTTTTAATAATTTCATTTAAATGCTGGCCGCGTACAGCGTGGTCCATTCGGAAGGTCCAATTTTCCATCACTCTTTCTAGCATTGCGACCGGTATCTGCCCAATTACCCGAGTAATGATTTCTCAATAAAGCTATTGTTTCGCGGGCTGTGTGTGCCGCAGCTCCGTCTTGTTAAATCAAAAGTCTTCGTCTATAATCCAGCTACGATTCAGGACTAAGAAGCCAACATTACTTGCCTCATTGGGCAGGTACCGGTCGCAATGCTAGAAAGAGTGATCGAAAATTGGATCTTTCGAATGGACCACGTACGCCGTAGTCCCGGACAGCATTTAAATGAAATTATTTTCAAAAAATAAATGTCAAAGATTGTTCTTTCAGGCCATAATAAAGATTCCGCCATCCAATTCCATTTTATGCATTTTATTTAGAATTTAAAAAAAAGGTCTAAATGAATCACCCGTTATTTTGTTTGTGCTTAACCCATCATTTTGTACCTTTTCTATAACGTGGTTAAGCATTGTTTTATGATCAGTTCAAATTTATTGATGTATTGCGAAATTACTCGGTGCTTAACCAGGAGTGCTGACCGTTATTGTCCAACTTTGAGTACTCTTTGATTGTGTGCGTGAGCCTTTGTTGCATGAACTAATATTTTTCTCCCGTGAGGGGAACAGGTTGCCCTAGGTTCTCTAGGGTTGAATCGCTTTTCCCCGACCCCTCAACTAAAATAGGCGGGTTGCCTCCCTTTGTGGACCCCGTTACATTCTGGGCCTAGCCCGGCTAACGATAGTGTTATAACACCAATATTCTTCAGTTTTAAATCTTTGTTTAAATGCAGTATTGAGCCATATCGCCAATACATTAATTTGCGTAATTTTTAAAGTACAATGCCTGACCGCGTATTCCTTTGCTACTTCATAGCCGACCAGGGTTTTTTCTCAGGCTCTTTTTCCCAGGCCGAAACCCTTCTAAGAGCCACCCCTTGCTTGTTTGTAAAAAGTTAACGTAAATTAAATTGGGGTAAACTAAACCACTTTATTTTATTTCTTATAAACATAATTCTCCCACGTATCATTCTTAAAGCAATGCATTAATAAAACAAGTAAGTAAACACAGCGTAGAGGTCCAAATTTGGGTAAGACGATCACGAGCCAAAGCCACAAAATATTTAATTTATCAATTTTTCATAAAACTTGTTTTAAACGAACCTGGGGTAAACAGAAATCTTTACAGTTGTAGTTTTGATTATGATTATATCCTCGCATAAAATTTTCAAAAATGAACAGAAATATTTTTATTTAACTTTATTACCAATTAGGTAGGTACATATCAGTAATAAGTTATCACTAGTGCGCAATGTAAATGTAAGTTATGTAACATACGTTATTATATATTATTTAGTCAATAAATAAAATATGTAAATCAATAAAACGAATTTAATAAGGTATCCCCCTTGTAAAAAAATCAGAGAAACTCTAGATTTTTGATTTTTGGTGGAAAGGCTATTTGTCATCTAACGAAATATCATCAAAAATAAATCACATCAGTACATTTTATCAGTAGCCTCATGATTTCTTTTAATTTGAGGTTAGTTTGAGAGCTGACGATGAGGCTACCGATAAAATGTTCTGATGTGATATATTTTTGATGATATTTCGTTATATAACATATTGCCTTTGCAACAGAAATCAAAAATCTGATTTTTTACAAAGGGGATACCTTATTAAATTCGTTTTATTGATTTACATATTTAATTTATTGACTAAATTTTGGTTTTTCTTAATCCAATGTTGCGATTTGCGATTTGGTTTCCGTCCCGAGGCGGGACTTAAGTTCAGTCCCGAGTGACGTCATAATTTGACGTCACACATTGTTAATCGGTAGCCATATTCCGTACCGAATCAGAGTCCCGACTGCTGACAATTATTTTAAATTTTTGAGGTTATGATCATATTATTTTT